ACAACAGCAAATACAAACCACCACCCCCCCCCCCCCCCCCAAAAAAAAAAAAAAAAAAAAAAAAACAACGACGGTAAAATTGGTCTCCCCGATCTAATTTTATTTCATCACCAATTTCTTAAGTATTCTGCTTTAGGGACTCAAATACGTTTGATTAAAACATGATAACCAAAATAGTAGATCAACATCTTCATGATCGCTTAATAGGTGCCCATAAGAGCGGTTATATATTGTAACATAAATAATAAGGTAAATTACACAAAACTACTTCAACTATGAGTCGAATCACAATCTCATACCTCATGTTTTAAACAATATAATTTCATACCTCAACTTATGAATTCGTTGCAATGTCAAACCTGAGTTAATTTTTTTGTCAATTTGTTTATTAAATGATGATATGGCAGGAATGAAGCTCACTTATTCCCCAACTAAAATAGAAAATTAATAAATTACTAATTTTTTATTTAACAATTAAAATGAATTAAAAAAAGAAAAAACCTTTCTTCCTCAAATTTTTCCAATTTCCCAAATTTTTCCGGTTCCTCCCCTCACCTCAGGCGCTTCAACGTCGGCGAGGACTACCCCGTATTTGACAGCCTCTTCGATATCTGCATGGCCTCCGTCAGCGGCTCAATCGTCGCTGTCGATTCCGACGTGATTCCCATTTGGGTCGTTGAATTCCAGGTTTCGACCCATGTCGAACTTGCCGGCGAGCAACGGGGCGACGAATGGGACGTTGACATTGGTGAAGAGGCCAAAGTATTGGCTGGCGAAGGCGTTGGGCGGCGAGGTGGAGTTGGAGAGGACAAAGCAGAGGCCGAATCTCGGGATCGACGGGAGGATGGAGAAGATGAAGGTGTTGGTGAAGGAGGCGACAGAGGTAGAGTTAGAGGTGTGTTTTCTGAGAATTTTTGTTGGGTAGAAGATGCAGCCTACGGCAAACTGGTAGGTGTTATTTGTGAGGCGAATGGCGGCGTAGAGTCGGGCGTCGTTGATGAGAGTGAGGTCGGTGGCAATGGTGATGTTGGAGAAGGAGTTGAAGCGGAAGTCAAGAGCAGAGGTGCGAAGAGGAAGAGGTGGTTGAAGAGAATGATGAAGACGGCTGAGAAGGATGGGTGGGGGGACGGTGCAAGTATTTAGGAAGGTAGTCGACGATGGGGGTGTAGGAGAAGGGTAGTGGAGCAAACTCGGGGAATTGAAAATATCTGAGGAGCATAATTTTTTATTGATTCATTTTAATTGTTAAATACAAAATTAATTTTTTGTTAATAATTAATTAATTTTTTATTTTAGTTGGAGAATGAGTGGACCCCACTCTTGCCACATCATCATTTAACAGTCAAATTGACAATAACTTTAATGAAAGTCTGATATTAGAACGAATTTATAAGTTGAGGTATGAAATTGCAATGTTTAAAACATGAGGTATAAGATTGTGGTTCGACCCATAGTTAAAGTAATTTTTTGTAATTTACCCTAAATAATATGATTTTCAGAATTAGTCAAATGTAAAATCTTTATAGATGAGAGAACTTAGGGTTCATAATACAAAAGACTTAAATATAATCATTTGAAGCAGCTTATAATTAAAATGCCTCCAACATGTAATAATTTGGATAAATTACATTTTACCCCTCAAGTTTGGATGCAATTGCGAAATGAATTTTACTTTCTACTGGAAATGAATACAAAACATAAGTATATTTTCTATTACTAACGTGGCGGCCATTCTATGTTAAAGGATCATCGCAAGATCCTTTTCCTAGAGATCCCATGATTGGGACTGTGGATGCAAATTTCTTTCTCCTTGTTCTTAGACAAATTACACCTACAAAACAAATAACATCTTAGGTCAAGGCCAAGAGCCTCACGTGCCCATGATGAATGGGGGTTAGGGGGGCTTTGGCCGAAGAACCATTGATGCCAAAGTTACAATTTTGAGAGAAAAGTGTTTAGAGAATTTTGAGAATTTAGTAAGAGAATTGGAATTGAGTTTTGGAGAAAATGAGATGGTATATATAGGGGTGTGGCCAGCCCCCTTAGGAGAGATGGTGACCGGCCATTTGTGGTATTTTTGGGTGTAATTTGTAGTTAATTAGTCAATTAATAGATTAATTGGGTAATAAATCAATTAATTAACTAATTAATATAATTTGGAAGGAATGTTTTGGGGGTTACCTTGTGGAGAAGATTTGATGAGGATTGATGAAATAGGTTTTGAATAAATAATTATTTTGGACACTTTTGATTTGATTGAGGGATGATTGTCCACTGCTCGTGAGTAGGAGTCCCGGTGTTCCTCGAGGGTAATTTTGTCCTTTTAACCCTAGAATTCACGTGTCGCCTCCATATTTTTCTTGATTATTTTTGGCTCCACAGGGATTGTTCATCGTATATCGTATGGTTAGTTTTCATTTTTAAATTTTAAAATGATTTTTTACCGCAAGATGTACGATGAACGGTCACGATCACGGGATCCCCAAGAAAAAGATCTGGCAAGTATCCTTTTCCCCATTCTATGACCTCTTAAGATCACTTGATCAGGTTTGCAGAACCTAATATGAAATTTACCATCACTAGTATTCAAAACTCAAATAATTCTAATCTCAAAAAATCCTCTTAGTAACTCTACTTCGAAAATATTTCACTTCAGGGAATGATGTAGGACTAACGAGATGTAACATACAAAATTTAGGTCTAATAAATAAAACATTGTTGTAGTCCTACTAGATTAGGAATGAGATTGTGTAAATCCTAGTATATTTTGAAATATCTTTTATATTCCTATTAGGAGTTGATTACCTATTAAGAGTTATAATCCTAAAAGGATAAGGAATTAACATTCCCTACTACTATAAATAAAGGTACAATGGGGGTGGAATAGAACACACCTCACAATTACACATCTCTCTCTTCTTTCTCTATGCCGCACCTTCCCTCTCTCTCTGGCCTCCATAACTGTTCAGTAAATTATGCTTACAACAAACACATATTTATTAATATATAAAAATAAATAAGTCCAAGATGAGAAAAATACTAATATGATTGGAATTTCATGATACAACCAAGTGCGATAAAGGGTGCTTCATTGAAATTTGAACTCTGGAGAAGCTTTGAATTAGATATGAAGTCAGCAAAAGAAGGCGTTTGCGTGTTTTTATTTTTGTCAAATGATAAATTTCGTTAGATTAGTCACTAACGGAGTTTGAACTCACACCGTCATGCAATGGCTCAAAACATTTCCACCACTGTTATAAGAGCAATTCCAGTTAAGGGCTCCCCATGGCAATATGCAATTGAATCCCCTCTAGTGAATACTAACTGCTTTTAATGAACAGTAATAGCCTTTTGCATCTCCATCTCTAAACTGAATAGCCATAACAATAGACAATAAAATATTAGTATTTATTTATTTTATAAAATAATATAAAAAATTAATTTAAATTTCGAATAAGATTTTTAATCGATCTTGTCATGTCAGGTGTCATTATCCGAAAGTAAAATTTTTGTAGATAGATTTCGATAAAATTTTTAAACAATTTTGTCACGCGATATGTCTTTACCTATTTAGAATCATTGAAAATATTGAAATGTGGTGTAAGGTGGGAGAAAATGATAAGGTAATTATAGAAAAAAAAATTTATAATTTTATAATTTTTTTTGAATATTTTTTGGATTTTTAATTTGTTTAAAAAAATTATTAACTTAATTAATCTAGACCATTGGATTACAAAAAATTTGAAATCCAATAGCCCAGAACGTGACACGTGGCCCACCCAAACATTTATGAATTTTTTATTTAAAAAAAAAATTAATGTTGAAAAAACTAGATCATTGATCTGAAAATCAAATAGTGCAGATTCAACATGATTGAGTGGGGTTGACATGTGGGCCCCATCATCTGAAAATATGCTGGAGATGCGTAACCACGCGCCTTCTGCAAATTCTTTTAGAATGTGGTTGACATCAGCTTGACGTCACTTTCCCCTCAGGCACTTGGGCCTTGAATTCCGGCTTGACCTCTCCCACGAGCTTCCCTTTAGTCCAATAGCCCTGATGGGCTGGAGCTAGTTTTGGGGGCAATTGGATTGGATTTGTTGCCAATCTCCATTGCTAGATACTACAGTGGGGTTGCTCTAAAGTGCTACTTACGCGTTTGCACGTTTGCAACAAAACAAAAAAGACGTTATTTTGGTGTCGGTCAATTTAAAAATATTGATTCATTAGTTCATTTGTCTTTGGTCAGCATAAGAATCCAACGAAATTTCAGAAAAAGGATTTTATATGTCACTGGATTAGCAGCAGTCAACTGCCCCACGTATCTAAACATGAACCTTCGTCGCATGTTGAAAAGTAAAATCGCATATAAATACAAAAGATATACACCTACTTAGACAGATGTGAGAACGGCGATATCCTGTCGAAAGTTTCCAGTTATTGCAGATGAGAGAACAATAATATTTTAAATCCTAATTCATTTATTTTTAGTCAGATTTTTTATTCCCTTAGTATTTCTTGGTAAAGACCACGAAATATCTCCAGGGCGGGACAATTATTTTGGGCACTAGAAAGTAGTAGCAACTTCCCACTTTCTCTTGACCACGTAATCAACTCCTCTTTTCATTAATATGGGGTTTTTGTTTTTGTTATTTTTCTGAAGTTTTAACTTTAACTCCTTTTAATTTAATTATAATTTTAAAATCATTGAAGGACAATTTAAAATTTATAATATTTTAAACACTTTTGTGTTGCTCTCTTCTATATCTTTATATATAAAGCCCGAAAAAAAAATGACTCATTCATAATCTCAACTTACCCTCTCTAATTAAAATTTAAAATAAAACAAATTAATTTTAACAAAATTTCAAACTAACAGAACAAAACTACCAACTACATGAACCATTCTTCTTTTTATTATTTATTTTTTATTTTTTTTATTTTTTTAAATTTTAAAAAATAAAATAAAATAATAGTATAAACAAAACAAAAAAGGCGAGTAAAGAGTGAGATGTAAAAGAATAAATCGTCACTGCGGGTGAAAGACTGGTTTTATACATGGAAGAAAGAATGCTGTACACTGTAGACGCGTTAACTGACAGCAACAACAGCGAAAGAAGGAAGTTGTAAGGAAGTTGTAAGGAAGTTGTTATAAATCGGAATGGAGGAAGTTGTAAGGAAGTTGTTATAAAACGGAAATGGAGGAAGTTGGAAGGATGTTTATGTGGTGTTGGCGTCGTCGTTGGAGGAGTGGTGACGCCCACTGACGCTATATAGATCACTAGATTACTAAAGGATAAACATATTAATTGACAGCGTCAACAGCGGAAGGAGGCCTTAGTGATGGAGATGGAGATGCAGATGAAAAGTTACCTGAAAGATGGCAATGTTGGTTCCGTCGTCGGAGTAGTGACGCCTACTGACAGCAATGTTGGTGTCGGAGTCGGAGTAGTGACGCCCAATAGCACTGCCAATCACGAACTTGCTGCTCAGGTTCTCCCTGCTTCCCTCGCTTCCCTCCCTTCCTTCCTCCCTCCCTCCCTCCCCTCTTTCTATCCAATCAATTAAGTTCATTAGTTCCCCTATACCAAATTTCTATATGCACCGTTACCAACTCATTTTTCGTATTTTATTTCAACTTTCAACTTCCAGCCCTTGCTCAAGTTGCGGGTCGCAGCCTTGTTTTTCAAAGCTGCATATCAATTTATGGAAGGTGCGTGCGGTTACTCTAAAAAACGCAAACTTATTGCCTGATGGTTGGCTGTTTTGCTCGTTATGTTACAGTTATTTCTGTATGATTCTAGTCCATATACGGTTGTGCAGCAAAAGGTAGTTGGGAGATGAACGAGATAAATACAACCGAGGAAGCAATTCCAACTAGGTACTACTGCTACAGGTGTCGTCATCTGGTCACTGTGGATGTCGAAGTCGAAATCAAATGCCCTTTCTGCCAAGACGGCTTCATCCAACCATGCGAGGGTGTTAACTCACGCTACCTAACCATGTCATCCGAATCTGAGCTTTCTGAAAGTGGTTCAGATGGAGAGGTGCGCACCATTTTAATTTAAGGAAAGCTAATTAAAATCGTTTGAAAACTTTAAATTTTAAAGATAAGAATAAAATAAATGGTAAAGTAAATAGTACCAAAATTAATCTTTTAGTGTAAAAATTTGATTTTTCATCAAAGTGAACAGCACCGGAAGATTTTCGTTAAAATTCCCTTTAATCTACCCTTTGATCAAACCTTCATTGTCTTAGACTCTTAGCTCTTAAAACAAATATTATCTTCCCGTATTCGTTTATCATTCATAATTTCAAATGAACTTTGAAGTAATTTGGGCGATTCCAACTCTTGATTGCAGGGCCTCGTTGACGAGCAACGCCATGTGATACGGGTATTGGTCTTGAGCTTCAGTCAGCTGGTTTTTATCCTTGGGATCGGAAGGTTCTCTGTTTTCTAACAAAAAAAATAGAAAACTTTTAGTCCTAAAAAATGATTGCTTTTAGATAAATACTGTAAGTAAGATTAAAAACTAATTTTAGTCAATTGATTTGTGTCCAAATGAGATTAAAAACTAATTTTAGTTGTTTAACTCTTGTCCAAATCAGCATTTATATTTCACGTCATATTTAATTTCTTTGATGTAATTTACTATGTTTTGTCTTCCTATATTACCCCTACATATTACTATTAAATGTTTTTTTTTTATTCAAAATGAGCATCGGCCATTTAAGGATGCAACATCAAAGGACACCTTGACTTTTTTCATGTTGTAATTTAGGCAGGATGATATGAAAAATCTTTCCGGGCACTATCATAAATTAATCAAAGTCAAAATTAGTCTACTAATGTGGAACATACCAAGAAGGTCAAATAACTAATTATAGGGGGCACAATGGGAACAAAAAGAGCCATTAAAGAGTTTAAAAACAACAAAATATGAGTTATAATAATCATGATGACATGGAGGAATAAGATCAAGGCTTAAATGTTAAAATAGTCGTTGTGTTTTAGTTATTGGATCAATAGTCCTTATGTTTTCAATTTGACCATTTTAGTACTTATGTTTATCTTCATTGACCAATTAAGGACATTTTCATTAAATTTTTATAAAGAAACTATAATTACTATAAATTTTTTTTTAAAATTATTTATTTGATTTAAAATATTAAAAAATAATATTAAATTAAAAATTAGAAAAAAAAATTTCTCTTCTCAACTCTCCGACCTCCTTCCTAACATTGTCCTCTCTCTTTTCTATGCCACAACCTTAATCATTTTTTAGATTAAAAGTTTTATCTCTTATATGTGTTATTTCTGATTGATTTGCATTTTTATATAAAGATAAAGAGTAATTATATATCATATAATTTTTTTTATGAATTTTCTAAAAGATATTGAATAAAATGTCCTTATTAATTGGTTAAAAGAGACAAACATGAAGACTAAATTAGCTAAGTCGAAAACACGAAGACTAAATTGGTCATATGACCATAAGACAGGGATCATTTTGACATTTAAACCTAAGATCAAATATCTAATCCCACACCAGGTTTTAATGAAAAAATTAGAACTTAATGTGGATCCTATTACTCACTAGAACTTCTACTGCAGGTTACTTCATCAGAGTGGATCCTGTTACTCACTAGCTGCGGCATCGAGATTCTGGCATCGGTTTTTGATCAGGTTTCCTCCCCACTTAATCCTCACTACGCATTAATTGGTATGCTGTTGGCAATTGTGGCTGTACTTGTTTGCATCTGCGAGCTCCTTCAAAATGCTATAAAGGAAAGAGTTGTATTGAGGAGTCGGGGAATGCTATGGTGTTTTCACTATCCAACTCCAAATAACATGCTTTTTGGTACATTCCCTGAAATTTTTGGATTAGGTCTGGCCATTGTTCAATGCATTTGCTCAGCAGTGCAGTATCATTTCAGCCGTCGCCATGCTACTAGTCCTATCAAACTGTCCCCTTTGCCTGTCGTGTTCGCTTTCAGTTTGGTTGTTTCAAAATTACTTCAGAGTCGGAGGTGCACCGTTGATGACACTCTTCAGGATGGTACCTAAGCAAAGACTAGATTCAAGTGAACATCGAAAATGAATCTGAAAGAAAAAAGACCCAGAAATTTTTCTCAGCAGGGAAACATGTGAAGTTGTCACCTTCAACTTGTTACGAAAGTTCATACAAGCTTCTGTGTAGAAATAGAAGATCATTGTTCAACAAATTATCAATTTCTTTTATGTTTAGCAGTATTGATTGCTGGGAGAATTAATTAAATTCTGCAGAAGGCTTTGAATTCTACAATTGTCCGATCACATCCTAGTCCTACAAATTGAGATGATTGCCTAAAACAGAAAGAGATCTTCTTAAGTGATTCGCACCTTTGAAATTTCATCAAAGGGTAAAAAATTATTACACATTTTAAGAGGTCAAAATAAATGAACCGTTTGATGAAATTTGAAAAGTTCGGATCACTTGATAGGGGATTCTCGCATGTCTTCTTAATTAATCCCGAAGCTCTAAAAATAAATTTAAAAAGTCACATAATACTACAATTCAGGACGATTTAGTAATATTTCTCTTAACTGATAAGTATAAAATTTTAAGTTATTGCTTGTACATTATAACGCTAAATCAACTCTTCATTTTTAATGTAAATAATATCATTTATTAAAAAAAGAAAAAGAAAAAAAAAAGAGGTTTAGACCAAAAATTTAAAAAGAACTAAAAAGAGAGGTTGCCATTGTTCCACTGTTAGCATTCTCAGACAACTTAGGTCCGAATCTTGTCAATAATAAATTTGATACCAAATTAGATTTTATTGCGTATCTTAGCTAAACTTCTCATTCCTTAATGAAAATATATCGTTGTATGAAAAAACCAAGGCTAGTAATAGAACTTGATAAATTCCCGACGATATGAAAAATGAAATAGAAAAAGAACTAGAGGTAAACAATTAAACAAATAAATACCTACCACATCAGGTTTAGGCCACAGCATGACGGAAATGAGGTGGGGAGGGCTCTCAATTGAGCATCCATCTTCTTCCAGGGACTATATTTACAGATCGCGTATCACAATTGGCAAAGGGAAGCAATTTTATACCTTTTCAGTCTTGCTCCGTTGCTGGCTGGGCTGTATAACATCTCAACCGCCTTCTCTGGTTGTCTCTCTTGTCACCGGGGCTGTTGATCGTGTTCCCCTACTTTGGGTTCGATATTTTGGCGGAGGATTGGAGATGGACCTGGGCTTGGAAGCAGCAGACAAGCTGAGACGAGACAAGGTTGTAGCGCTTTAGCTTGAGACGGCGCTGGGGTTTTCTCAGGGAGAGGAAAGAAGATACTGACTGCATTGATCATGGAGGGTGTGAACGTTAAATGTGAATGGCAATATCCATCTGCTGTTATATATACTGTGTGTGAACACTCTTATTTCCGCTACATATTGTGTGTTCACACTATCCATTAACACAATCTTGTCTTATTTTTTATTGTGTGTTCACACAATCCTCTCTTGTTTCCGTTATATATTGTGTGTGAACACAATCCTCTCTTAGTTTTTATTGGTCGACCAATCCTCTCTTATTTGGATTACTCTATTATTTCGTGACTGACTTGTGTGTGAATGCAACCTAATTACTTGCGTGGGACCCCTGTCTCACCGTGTACCCCAGCAGCTTCCTCGCTCTTTCTTCCCTCCGTCTACAACACGTTATTTGGATTACTTTATTACCCCTCCAGTTTCCCCCCTCTTTCTTCCCTCTTTCTGCATCACGTTATTTGGATTACTTTATTACGCCCTTCAGTTGCCTCTCTCTTTCTTCCCTCCTCCAACACGTTATTTGAAATTATTTTATTTGTTGCTATGTGTTGTGCACCCCCAGTTTCTTCGCTCTTTATTTACTCTGTGTGCAACACCAATAAATAATATGATTTAAATTTACTTTAATGACAATCAAACTTAAAATTTTTCATTTAATAATAAAAATGAATATTACAAATCACAATACGTTATTTGAATTATTTTATTATTTGTTGAGCTGTGTGCCCTGGGATCCGCCCACGTGGGACACCTCCCTCTCCGTGCAAGCCAATGGCTACTGTTATCTACTAACTTTATTTAATGATAAGGGCAAGAGCAAAAAAAAAGAAAAATACATAACAGAAGTTCGGTGCTTCAGCCTCTTCTCTTCGAAGCTCACCTCCTCTGCACCAACTCCTTCACTGTCGGCATCCCCACCCTCCCCGAACTTCACCTCCGATTGCCGGCCAGCAACCGCCATGGCGACGAGCTTAGCAACAAGGAACAAGAGGATCAGAGCCAGCGACGCCGTCCACTGCCCTTGTTAGCCTTCCTTCTCTCTTTCTTCACCTTTGAGTTTCTGCTCCTCTTCTTCTCCGCCAACCTCTCCTTATAAGCCTCCAGGATTTCATGGATCAGTTGCCGGTTCGACGAAGCGTCCTACCGTGCCCAAAAACTCATGTAGCTCCTGAAGCAGTCACACTGGAACGTAGGAGGGTGGTCCACCTAAAACTATTTCAAACCCATATTTGATCCAAGATGCTAGAAGACATTACTAGCAACAGATTACAACAAAACCAAGCTAATTTTACCTCCTCTTTTCAAGGGTTGTAGCTTGATTCCATTAGAGCAACTCTCACCGAGAACCCCTGCTTGGATTATCCTACTTCCCATTACCAAATTTAACATGCAATGGTACCATAGTTATCCCCAGCTTGCATAGGTCTTGTATTTTGGTGGTTTGGGGTCTCAATTAAATTAGAATTTGTGGTGATGGTGCTTGGAGTTCTTTTTGGATATGGTGGTTTAGAGAGAAGGCAGAGAGTTCGAAAAGAGAGAGAGAGTTCTGGAGTGTTCACGTGGGAAAAGGAAAAGAAGAAAGAAAAGGGGAAGAAAACAGAGTGGGCCAGGTGACAAACACAACACAGTGGTGCAGTACCGTTAAGTTTCATAAACAGTGTAGTAAGTTTCATAAACAGTGTCATAAGTTTTCATAAACAATGCAGTAAGTTTTATAAACAGTGTCGTAAATTTCATAAACAGTGTAAAAGTTTCATAAACAGTGTGAGGACATGAGTTTGCGCGTCAGATTTTTTTAAATTTTTTTTAATATTATAATTATGTCCTTTTCATTAAAATTTAAGTTCTTTTGTCCTTTTTATTAAAATTTAAGGGTTTTTCATTAAAATTTAAGTCTTTTTAATTAAATAAAGTTATAGCATGGTTTTTTATTAAAATAAACTTAGTCCAAGCCCTTTTCATGAAAATTCCCCCAAAAAAAAAAAAAGAAAAACAGAGAGAAGATAAACGGGATAAAAAGGGTAAATGGGTAAACGAGTATTAAACGGTTACGGTTAAATGTGTATGCGTTTATGGGTATGGTTAACCGTTTATAAACGGTTATGGGTATGAGTATAACCGTTTAGACAATTACCCAACGGGTAAACGGTTATGCGGGTATGAGCATAAACGGTTATGGGTAAATAACCGCGGTTACCCGTCCGCCATAACCGTTACCCATCCCTAGTCTATAGTCACGGATTGCAGATAGTGTGCAAACATTGATGTCGTACAGCCATAATTCTTCTAGTGTAAATTCATAAATCAATGGTCTTACTGATAGTTTACATTTGTATACTTCACATCCCTTAGAGGCGAGGAACAAAGTATGTGCTCGGAATCGTTAACAATGTCAAGTATGTATGCCATTCAATTGTGAAACACCGATATGAATCCTTGTTTACCAATTTTTGTAGGCCTCAATATCCTGACGATGTTATAACAGAAACGAGATCATTTTAATGTTTAATTTAGGCTTTAGTAGCTTTTCACCTGATCACAACATCAGCATGGAAATATAAGCAGGGTATCCAAACTCCACCTGTACACTCATCTAGAAAGTACTGAATCTTACAGTGTCAACTATTTTAGATATCACAATCTAATTGATGAGTACAAATTGTATTGTGTATTTTATCTCGAAGACTATATTTTCTTGTGATATTTTAGACTTAAATAAAAGAAATTACATGGTTTTGTGCTTTGAAGGCCAACTTAGTGAGATGAAAAAAGTTCCTATTATTTTCCTTAATGTTTAGTCAAATGTGTTGCTTGAGTTTTATATGGTATAAAAATAATGTCTTTTACCAATCAGTTGAATTAGCAAAACCATTTGGGTTTGGCATATTGTCCATGTGTCATGGAATTAGTAATACCTTTCCACCATTTAACAACATTTCCATCCCTAAAAACCCCTTGGCAATAGTTAATCCAATCCATCTAAATAAATAGTAATTGCTTGTAATGAATGATAACTGTCCAAGTGCATCTGCACTCCTAAACTGAATTGCCTAGGCAATTCAGTTTAATTTTTTTTAATAAAATAATTTAAAAAAAATTAATTTTAATTTTGGATAGGATTTTTAACCAATTTTGTCACGTCACGTGTCATTATCCGAAAGTACAATTTTTGTGGATAGATTTTCGAAATTACCTAAATACAAAAAATAAATATGAAAGTACATAAAGTACTAAAAATAAATACGGCATTACATAAATACAAAACAAAATAAATACAAATTACAACCCAAAGTGAATGGAAGATTATGGGTGCTGAATTTCCTAGTGACCTCCTTACCGATCTGTGGATCTCTGTTGCTAGGACCCCTTCCACTTGTTCCCTGTTTCTTGCACGATTCCTTCGCACCACGTCCTCTTTTTCCAATCTTTAAAAATATTTAGGATTCAAAGACATTCCTTCTAGAGGCTTGTTCATAGTGTCACGATCTTCTTGAGTCATCCTTTTTTCTCTAAGCATCTCCCTTTCTTGCCTAAGTAGTTCTTATTGTCTCTCATTAGCCACATCACGTTTCTCAATAGCCGCTATGATTGCTTGTATATTCACAACTTTAGCTTCATCTCTAGCCACGTCCCGCAACAAGTTTAGTTCACTTTGGCAAGCAAGTTCTTCCATATATTTTGTATACTTACTTATGGAAGAACTCCTTTTTTTCTTTGTAGCTTTTTTACCTTGAGGCCTTAGTGAATGAGGGGTTGGTTCCAACACTCATTCAAGGGTCGCTTCTGGCACTTCTAATTTATCGCCTTCCTGTTGATGCGAGTTTACTTCTGCCGGATAGTGTATAGGGATATTGTGCATGACAAGTTTTGGACCGATTGGCACAACTCTGTATTTAGGACAATTTTTTACAACATTCCAACATTCCAACATTCCGAATGGTTGAATGAATTGTTTTTGTTTTTCGCATTGTACCAAGCTTGTGCTCAAAGAGTCTATAAAATGTGGGAGAAGACAATTTTATAATTAAATTAATTAATGTCAATTTGGTTGTAATACAAATAAATAAATAAAATATTGTAACCTGATTCACTAAATTTTCGCCACTTCGACGATTAGAAAGAGCTTGAGCGTTTGCGTCTCTCCAACAGGTAAGTGATTGGTTGAGTGTTTTCCAACGAGCAGAAAAAGATTGATCCATTCTTCTAGCGCGAATCTTCTCACAAAACAAGGTATGAACCGTCTTCCACACTTCTTGCAAGTGCATCTCATTACCTGTAATCGGATCATGAGTAGCTTGAACCCAGCATTCACACAACTAGGGTTGGGTTCAACTTGCAAATTGTGCAAAATTCCTTGTGCCACTTCCTAGCCACATATACATAATTACCGAAAATCAGTTATCGCTAGCCAATCGTTTTCTTGCTGTTGCCAAAAATTGGTTGAGCCAAAATTATTAGTTGGTTTGGTTGGTAAATGGCACAACCGGTGGTTTGCAAATAAGGTACAAAAAACAACAGCGACCATGCACCAACTTGTAAACAACAAACTAGAAAAGAGAAAAAGAAGTTGTTGTCGCTATTTTTCAATTGATGATAAGCCAACATAATCATGACTTAAAAAATTAAAATGGAAATCAAATCAAAACTTAATAAACCAACAACAATTGTCAGTAAACATAATCCAAATAGTTAAAAGTTCACAAACTCAAAAGTCTAACTAATATAATTGTCTCAATTCAATTGTAGCGACTAATGCTTAAACAAAAAACTCAAAACTCAAAAGTATGGTTCTGGTTATTATAACCAGGGAGGTGTGCATTGAAGAGAAGAAGAAAACTAAGAGATCAAGTCTGCTCAAAGTTGTGCAAGAGTTAGAAAAAAAAAAAAAAAAACTGAACATCCTTTATTTTTTAAACCCTAAAACTAAGGAGTCATTTATTTTCTAAAACCTTAAAAATGAGGAGTCAAGCATGTAAAAAATACCTAAAATATCTAAATAGAAAAAAAAAACAATATATATATATAGGTAGATTAGCCCGACTGCAGTGAATTTACTCTTACTCGAAAGCACTTGGAGGGTAGTGAGTCATCAGCTTTTTACTTGTATTGCCACTAAAAGGTGCTTTTTGGTTGATTGTGAGTTAGTCCCCATCACTTGACATTTAAATCATAGGCACATGGCCTATGCATTAATGGGAAGGCGCCAATTTGTCTCTGAGCTTGATGCTGGGCTTCGGACAAGTCTTATTTTAATCGGCATCTTTGGGCTTCTACATACTTGTTGCCCAAGGTTCCAATATTAACCCAAACAGAATGTACATGAAGTTCTTTATTGGCTCTTCGTCCCCAAATATGTTCAGTTGTGACATCACCTAGAAGAAAGAATGAACTTCCCAATTTGGAAACTTGCAATTTTGCACTGGAACTGGATCAAGAAAAGGCTAAAGAATGAGTTTTCTTAGGTTCAAGTTTTGACTCGTCATCTCGAGATAACTTATTTTGGGTTATACTGTTGGATTTTTTAGATCGACGAGCCTGAGAGCCTTACTCTAACGACACCGATAGTGTCCCTAACTTGGTAATTATCACTGCCTAATTCATCAGGTGTGATGTTTTATCACAAATGCTCCAGTATTAGTTAGAGTGGGGTAATCCTATTTAAAGTTACTATTTTTTACTTTCTCCACTGATGTGGGACAGCCAACACGCCCCCTCATGTTTGAACCCCATTTAGTGGTTCACACGTGGAGATCCACTCATCGGCGATTGAAACTCAGAGGTCTGCTCAAATGGAATTCAGAGCTCTACATATTCATTTTCCTTTGAAAAGTGTTGTCTTTATAAGTTAGGTACAGTCAGTATTTATCACATAAACAGTAGACGCAAAGGCTTTGATAATTTTCTTATCGTAATGCGAAAGTTCCACGATTTCGACAAGAGATTTTAAGTGTCATGCTTGAGTGTCGAAGACCCTTACACAATGGCAGAGCCATGTTAAAGGCTGCCATCGGCTATAGCTCAAGTAGCTTTTGGTGAAAAATAAAAATTTACATGTAATTTTCATTGATTTTCGGATGTAGTTAGCCCACCATATATTTAGTCACTAATTCTAATTCTCTCAATTTAATTACATAAAATTATATAATATAGTTTACAAACTATCTCTCTTTTTCTTACATCCTTTTTCTCATCGCTTCTTCTACATATATGTTTCAAGTTTGGATTTGTTTGAATTTTAACACGTATTTGTTTTTTAAAGAAAAATTCTTGGCTCACCTTGTGAAATTATTTTCTTGAGCTAGTTGATACAGTGGAAAATGCAATATCAGGTTTCTTTGTTTATAAAGATTTAAATCTTTAAGCTGGCCCACCCGATGAAAAATTCCTAGCTTTGCCATTGCCCTTACACCATCAGCTTTGCGCCCAAAAATTGCAAACTTCCAACCCAGCCCCTCTCCTCCAGAGCTAAGGAAGCAACTCAAGGAGCTGATGAGAATAGGCTCCGGCCCTGTACAACCATTGTAGTCTTTTTTCAGCGCGAATTTTCGGTCATGCCTGAAGCATGGTAATTTATTATTTACATAATTAACAAACTAACCAGTTACTGCTGCCGAAATTGCTGAAGTGAATAAATTGTGGTGTATATGTTAACTCTATTTTCTACCAGCTTCGCTGCTGTTTAAGTACTATAAATAGCTTAGCCAGCCGCATCATTCATCACAGTCGATAAAAACTCAAAGAGTACCATATAGATTTAGGGATTGGATTATATATACAAATTATAATTAAGTAGAGTGATGGCTCGAGCACGCTGTTTAGGGGTTTCGAGTACTATAATGGCCACTGCTATCTTGCTTTGCAAAGGCTCAGACGGCCTTGTATTGTGCCAATGTGTTTACTGAGTTCAGCTCTTGCATGACGTTTGTCGGGGGATTGTCTTCTGAACTATGGAAGCAGTGCAGTGACTCCCTCAAGACTTTAAATGCGATGGCAAGACAGCGATGAAGGTGGTCCGGAGATAATATGCAAATGCATTGAGGACTTGTCTTATTGGACCAACGTTAGTTTCAATGCCTCTCGCATCCAGGATTTTCCTACCAAAGCTCTTCAAGACGCATGTCCAGCCAAAGAAGAAAGAATAAAACTTTGACAACAAGAGAAGCCAATACAAAAGAAGTCTTGGTCAAGGTCGCGGACGTGGACGTGGTTGGAACTTCAACAACCATAGCAACTATGAAGGAGGAGGAAGCTCAACAAAAGGTCGTGGAAGAGGACACTCAAACTTGAGGTATGAAAAATCTCAAGTTCAATGCTACAATTGTCAAAAGTTTGGGCATTATGCTTGGGCATTTAGAGCTCCAAGCAACAGGCTTGATGAGAAGGTCAATTATGTGAAAGAAGAGAAAGAAGATAATGACATTGTGCTACTAGCATGCAAGAACAATGATGGAGACCAAGACTATACATGGTATCTTGACACTGGTGCCAGTAACCACATGTGGGGAAGAAAAAGCATGTTCGTAGAGCTCAATGAATCGGTGAGTGGCAACCTTTCTTTTGGAGACGAATCCAAAATACCAGTAAAAGGAAAAGGTAACATCCTTATTCCCCTGAAAAATGGTGGTCACCAATTAATTTCAAATGTCTACTACGTGCCCAATATGAAAAGCAACATTTTGAGCTTAGGTCAACTCTTAGAAAAAGGTTATGATATTCACATGAAAAATTATAGCCTTTTTCTTAGAGATGACAAAGGAAGATTAATTGCCAAGGTGAAAATGTCAAAGAATAGGATGTTTCCTATGAATATTCAAAATGATGTTGCAAAATGTCTCAAAACATGTTACAAAGACATATCCTGGTTTTGGCATCTTCGCTTTGGGGGACTAGAGTTATTGTCCAAGAAGGAGATGGTGAGAGGCTTACCGTGCTTCAGCCATCCTGATCAAGTTTGCGAAGGATGTTTACTTGGGAAACAGTTCAAGAAAAGCTTTCCAAAGGAGTTGACCACGAGAGCCCAGAAGCTACTCGAGCTTATTCACACCGATGTGTGCAGTCCAATAAAACCAAGCTCTTTCGGTAAAAATAATTATTTCCTTATCTTCATTGATGATTTTTCAAGGAAAACCTGGGTGTATTTCTTAAAGCAAAAATCATAGGTATTTGGAGCATTCAAGAAGTTCAAAGCCGCCGTAGAAAAAGAGAATGGTTGCAAAATCAAAGCCATGAGATCTGATCGAGGAAGAGAATTCACTTTGAGGGAATTTCAAGAGTTTTATGAAGCAAATGGAATTCATCATCCTTTGACAGTTCCAAGATCCCCTCAACAAAATGGTGTGGTGGAAAGAAAAAATCGAACTATCCTCGACATGGCTCGAAGTATGCTCAAAAGTAAGAGATTGCCTAAAGAGTTATGGGCAGAAGCTGTAGCATGTGCTGTCTACTTATCCAGTCGGTCTCCAACAAGAAGTGTGTGGGGAAAGACTCCGCAAAAAGCATGGAGTGGAAGAAAACCAGGTATTTCCTATCTAAGAGTTTTTGGAAGCATAGCCCACATACATGTACCAAACGAGAGGATAACCAAACTCGACGATAAAAGTGAGAAGTTCATCTTCATCGGCTATGACTCAAATTCAAAAGGTTATAAGCTGTATAGTCTGAATAATGGGAAGACGATGATCAGTCGAGACGTGACGCTTGATGAAGAAGGAGAATGAGATTTTGGCTCTCATGCAAGTGATCTTCACTTCTTTCCTCAGTTTGAAGAAGAGAATGAACAAGGGATGATAGAGCAAGCAAGAGAGGTTCAACAAGAATCCACTACTCCACCTGCTTCACCAACATCAACCAATCATGGTAATTCACCAGCATCAACATCGTCACTTGACTCCGATGGCTTTGTGTCATTTTGGAAAAATAACGAGTTCCCATGTATCATTCTTATGGATTGCTTCGATTTCTTCATCCATTGCTTTCCTCCACTTAGTATCTTGCACTACTTCTTGGAAGTCAACTGGTTCACAATCAACAAAGAGACAAAAAAACGTAGGATTATCAAGTTTTACAAAGAAAAATGCCAACGGAGAGGTCGAAAGATACAAAGCGAGATTAGTGGCGAATGGCTATAGTCAAAGAGCTGGAATCGACTATGATGAGGTATTTGCACCCGTTGCTCGGTTGAAAACTATACGATTACTAATTTCTTTGGCAGCTCAAAACAAATGGAAGATTCAACAAATGGATGTGAAGTCTGCTTTCCTAAATGGAGTCCTTGAAAAAAAGTCTACATTCATCAACCGTCAGGCTATGAAATCAAAGGGCATGAAGACAAAGTTCTGAAGCTGAAGAAAGATCTTTATGGGTTAAAACAAGCACCATGAGCATGGAATAGTCGCATTGACAAGTACTTCCAAGAAAACAACTTCACCAAGTGCCCTCATGAACATGCTCTCTACGTCAAAGTCAAAGATGGAGATATTCTAATTGTGTGCTTAAATGTGGATGATCTAATCTTCACCGGAAGTAATCGAAGCATGTTTGAAGAGTTCAAGAGAGTGATGACCAAAGAATTCGAGATAACCAACATCGGGCTGATGGCATACTACCTAGGCATTGAAGTCAAGTAGAACGAAGAAGGCATTTTCATCTCCCAAGAAAGCTACACAAAGGAGATACTAAAAAAAGTTCAAAATGGATTACTGCAAGCCCATAAGCACGCCGGTGGAATGCGAAGTTAAACTAACCAAGCATGACAAGGGAGAAAGTGTAGATCCAACATTTTTCAAAAGTCTAGTTGGAAGCTTATGCTACTTGACTTGCACAAGACCAGATATTCTCTATGTCGTCGAATTAGTCAGTCACTACATGGAGAATCCCACAACTACACATTTGAAGACTGCCAAAAGAATTCTTTAATATCTTAAAGGTACTGTTAACTTTGGCTTGTTCTATTCAAGTTCTAATAACTACAAACTTGTTGGATATAGTGACAGTGATTGGGCAGGAGATTCCGACGATAGAAAAAGCACTATTGGATTTGTGTTTTTCATGGGAGACATTGGATTCACATGGATGTCAAAGAAGCACCGATTGTCACTTTCTCTACCTGTGAAGCTGAATACGTAGCTGCTACCTCATGTGTCTGTCATGCAATCTGGCTGAGAAACTTGCTGAAAGAATTAAGCATGCCACAAGAAGTGCCAACAGAGATCTATGTCGACAACAAGTCTACAATAGCTCTAGCAAAGAATCCAGTATTCCACGATAGGAGCAAACACATAGATACCTGCTATCATTACATAAGAGAGTGTATTGCAAGAAAGGATGTGCAAGTGGAATACGTGAAGTCACAAGACCAAGTCACCGACATATTCACCAAACCACTCAGGCAAGAAGACTTTGTCATATTGAGGAACACAATTGGCGTCACAAGACAAGATTAAGGGGGGATGTTGAATTGTAATCTTGTATTGGCCCAAAGATAATGGATCCAGCCCATGCACAAAGAAAGATCCATGCACATGCTAGAGAATTCTAGCAAAGTTCAAGTTGGTGGAAGAGTCTAGAAGAATGGTGAGAATTCCACCAACATACAAGATTAGTGTAGATAATTCTAGCTTAGGAAGGTAGTGGAATTATCTAGATATCTCTAGCATGATGCTTCCATGCTTCTCCAAGGTTCCATCCGTGCCTATAAAAGGAGAAGGCATCCACACCATTTGTAACAACCAAGAGAGCAAGTAGTGAGAAGTGAGAGTGCCATGTGAGAAGTGAGAAGAAGCAACAAAGCTTCTAAGAGTGTTTGAGTGTTTCCTCTTGTACTAAGTTTGTGAGTGAATAAAAATCTTGTGTAATACTTTGAGTATTCTTTCTTTCTCTTGCCTATCAATTCCGCTGCATTACATTCTTTTTTGTGAGATAAACATCTCCAAAGTAGTGAAGTCTTTTTAAGCCCCAACAATTTTGTAGTCAATATTTCAGTAACGCACTTGTCATGTTTTATCTTTTACGTAGTTGAACCAAGCAAGTTCTTCATTAAAACTTTAGCATACTTATCTTCTCTCTCTATATATATAGTACATACAAGTACACACAATATACATGTATATATTTGGTCAAGCTCTATCTCTATATCTATATAATATATGTATCTACTAACCATAGCTAAGAAGTGCATGCCCAGGAACTAGCCTGCAAGAAATGAAAAGTGAAATCACAAGCATTAAATAGAAAAATTGCATTGAACAGCAGTGAAACATAGAAATCAACACATGCATGAGCTTGGAATCAGAGGTTGCTAATACTGACTGTACACTTCACAAAGCTACATCTGATATTTTGAGTCTAAGACGCAATTAAACTGTTTAGACCCGGGAATTATAATCGCCTACTGGCTCTGTAATTGAAGCAACTAGAGTGCCACCCACTGACGCAATTATCTCACACAAGAAAACAAGTTAGCAAGATATAGATACATGCCTAGTGGTCAGATGACACAGAATTAATGTAGATTAAATGTGTTAAGATTAAAGAACATGTTTTAAGCATGAACCCTGTGATCCAAACCGTAGGATTCATATCAATTAGTAGTCTCAGAAATGCAAATGATTTTTTATTCTTAAGAAGTACTCTGCCTTTTAAAAATACTCGTACACATGCCAATGAGATAAATCTTATAACTGGAGCACTGAGAGTTATGCCTATACTACTAAAAAGATGCAAGTTCAGTTTTATCTCACACATTATAATTACAATTTAGTACAGGGAAGCTGTTTGAGTATACCTTACCTTATCCCTACTTGATGCAAATCAATCATAAATGTCGACTTTTCGGCACTCATAAACTTGCTTCCCATTGCGCAAAATATTCTGTAAATAGAAATAGAAACTATGGTCATTGTTTTTTTTTTACCAATGTCATGCAAGCATAACACTGTACGTAAGAAAGCTGTCGGTATGTAGATCAAACCTATCAGTCAAGCCAACAGTTGCCGAATCTGCTGGTACAAACCTATCAGGAAAACAATTAAAAGCTATCTGAAAAGAAATTTTTGTCAATGTGTAGATCTGCAAAAATTTCTACACCAGAGGCATAGCCAATGGCCACCTATGTGAAAGAGACACCAAAAATCAGCAAGAGGGCTACCATAGAACCAATTCAATACCATTAAAAATAGTCACAACCATTCATACAATATAGACATGTTAAACATGTATCTTAGAACAATTCAAGAGACTACACATGTCAAAAGTATCACAACCCTACAATTACAAACACATCAAAAATACAATACGATTCTTCAATCATGGAGAACCCCTAGTCCTAAACCCTAAAATCTAGTCACGAGGACTAAAACATTACAAACCTGAGAACTATCATAGAGGCTCCACAAGGAAAAGACCACACCAACCTCTGATGATTTTGCAATCGTTTGGCAAAGAAACCTAGCTATAAGCCCTTCCAGCAAACTTCGAGTTTCCTTCTTGTAGTAATTTGTTGGGTGCACAAATCATAAACACCACCACTTCAGATTTGAACAACAATCGCCGGTCTAAAATCCGATATTGAACAAACCATGGCCATGCACAACCACAAAATCTCTCTCGACAAAGCAAGAGAGCGACCACAACCACGAACTGAGGACTCTCCTCAACAACGCGAGAGAACGACTGCAGCTAGAAACAAAGATGGGAAAAAAAAAAATAGATCAAGAAGTATTGCCTGAACACAACACCAAACGCAAGGGTTGGCAACTAGGGTTTTTTCTCTTGATTTTCTCTTGTCTTGCGAAGAATCTTTGGCCTTTATTCACATGTACCAGGGTGCATATTAATTAAAAATTAGTCATGTTTCATTACTTTTAATTTGTCTTACATTTTCTTACATTGAATGCGTGTAGAGATTAATTTGTAAAGTTTTCTTTCAACATCTGGTCATTAATATAAAGATAAGGATGAATCATTGCCAAACAGGCATATAAAACAAAACCAGATACTTTGTATCAAAACTCAATGCCGCACACATATTTATGCTCACTGTATTTTCAAAAATGTTATTCTAGATCTTTCCTGTTCTTCTATAAAAAGGGCCCAATGCTTGTTTGTTTTGTACATGTTTATGAATAAGACATATCTTGATCTATAAGCTTTAGATTATGATTCATGTAGAGAAAATGATGCAGAGTTTTGAGACATTTGATGGTCAAGATGAAGCGGAATATGGTGATAGTTCTAAAGAGCTTGAACCATATGCAGTTCTAAATAATCGCATCCATGATTTATAAGAGGTATATATTAACTTTCATCACTCTTCTATTCACATTTCAGTTTTATCTATTAACATTTTTTTTTAATTTTATTTATAAAACTATCTCTAATATAAGTGAGTCTCACATACTATGGTAAGGCCCACTTATATTCAGCGATCTTAATATCATTTTGTGATCATTATCAAGCCTAAGTAAAATTTAATCCTCACCACTAATTTCATTTGATTCAGGAGGATGTGACACACCCCAACTCAGAATGTCCATCTGGACTCTGAATCAAGTTGTGATGGCCAACACCAGGAAGGTGACGAAGCCATAAAGTGTAGTGATGTGGAAAATGTGAATAAATTTAAACCTAAAAGTGCCTAAATGTTAGAGTGTGCTTGGGAGAGGGAATGAACCCATTTCACAACTAATGTCATAGCATAAGTAAAGTACCGTAAAGGTAAAAGAGGAATTATACCATCGGGGAATATTCCCATAACAACATTTTGCCAGAAATCCTCATTGACACGAAAGCTCAGTTACTAAACCTGGAGGGGTGAAAAATAAGGATGAGTGCGCCTAAAAATAAAGCTTTATAAAACCTTTTTGAAAATGTAATATAATCCCTAGTTGTAAAACAAGTATAGTTTCCAAAATATACACATGCACTAGTATCTGGCAGTGATACCTTTGTGCCAGAACGTCGGTTCACAATTTTAGGGTAACAAATAATATCAAAATATCATATATGCGTTAATTAGCGATGCGACTGATAGACTAATTAGCAGTGACTACCTGAGCTGAAGAAATTAAAATCGTGGAAATTTAGGAGCAAGCCTTGACTCATAGTTGTGTTAACCATATTACCCAGTTAGGTAACCTGAACATTCTTGACCAGTCATTCTTCTGGTGTAGTGAAAGGAAGTAGTATGGTATGTTTCGAGGAGCTATATCCCTGGTGTCATTTCTCAACATTTTACCTGGGATACCACTGAAGTGGGAAGTTGAATACACCATTGATTCAATTGCTTATATTACACAAATTCTCCTTGCATCATATCGAACGACTCTTTCAACTTTGAGAAAACTTAGTTACTTGCCTCTTCTTATGTTTCTCTTCATATGCTTGTAGCGAACCCATTAATTGCTCTATATTAATTTTTCCAAGTTTTTAGTTTCTTCAAGTGTCACGACAATGTGCTCAAACTTGGGGTCCAACAAGCGTAGTATCTTCTCCATAATTCTAACATCTTCTAACTTTTCTTCGTTTCTTTTTAATTGATTGGAAACGGCTAAGACTCTTGAGAAATAATCAAAGATTGATTCAGACCCTTTCATTTGTAGAGATTCGAACTCACCTCTTAATACTTGAAGACAAACCTTTTTCACTTGTTCGGCTCCTTTGTAAGAGGTTTGAAGCTTCTCCCATGCTTGCTTGGTAGAGGTTGCACTCGAGACCTTCTCAAAGCCATTGTCATCTAATGCTTGGTAGATGAGGTAGAGAGCCTTCTTGTCTCTCTTTCTTGAATCTTTCAAACTCTCCTTCTGGGGTTGGGACAAAGTAGCTTCATCTTTTGGCTCAGTGTAGCCTTTCTCCACAACTTCCCATACATCGTGTGCTCCCAAAAGGGCCTTCATTTTGATACTCCAATTATCGAAGAAGTTGTTGTCGAGCACTGGAACTTGGAAGGCTACCATAGCGTTGCTAGCCATAGCTCTGGTACCACTTTGTTGGGGCTTAAAAAGACTTCACTACTTTGGAGATGTTTATCTCACAAAAAAGAATGTAATGCAGCGGAATTGATAGGTAAGAGAAAGAAAGAATACTCAAAGTATTACACAAGATTTTTATTCACTCACAAACTTAGTACAAGAGGAAACACTCAAACACTCTTAGAAGTTGTGTTGCTTCTTCTCACTTCTCACTTGGCACTCTCACTTCTCACTACTTGCTCTCTTGGTTGTTACAAATGGTGTGGATGCCTTCTCCTTTTATAGGCATGGATGGAACCTTGAAGAAGCATGGAAGCATCATGCTAGAGATATCTAGATAATTCCACTACCTTCCCAAGCTAGAATTATCTACACTAATCTTGTATGTTGGTGGAATTCTCACCATTCTTCTAGACTCTTCCACCAACTTGAACTTTGCTAGAATTCTCTAGCATGTGCATGGATCTTTCTTTGTGCATGGGTTGGATCCATTATCTTTGGGTCAAGATAAGATTACAATTCAACAAAAATGTCATAGCACGTTTAATTGTTCCTTTGGGTTTTCCTTCTCGTGAATAAATCGTTACGGACTCTTGGTGGCTGCTATAATTTTCCAGTAGAACGAACTAATTGTACTGGTTGTATAGGTGTCCCCGAGTAAGTTATTCAGAGAGCATCACTTATATTGGACGCTCTTGGCAATGAGAATGTATCAACTATGGATCAGCAATGCAATACAAGGTTTTAATCCCAAAACTGAATCTGTGATTCAGAAATGTAAACATGACATATTATATAGAATAACACTTCCCCTGCAAAACCAAAACCATGAGATTGAATGTAGCAATTCTATAATACGCCGGAATAACATTTTTCAATCATATATTTTTTGTTTTAATTGTACAAGTTTCTATATCTTTATGATTTGTTTTCTCCTTGATCCAATTGCAGAATGTAGTGGACAAGTGCTGGCATTTGATTTTCGCAAGGGCGATATAGGTTTTTTTTCTTCAGGATTTATTTCCAACTGAGCCTTAAAACATTACAAAAGGCAAATTTTTTGTGATAAGATACAGCATTTAAATTTTGAACCCTAAAGTGTTATTACTTTATCTCCTTTCTTTTTGTCCAGGAAACTTTATGCTTTTCAGATAATTTTCCCAAGATTGTGAATGCAGAAAGATATACTCCGGTTTGCAATTTATGACTGAAGCCGTCAATGGACGGCTTCGATATCCTCGTGTCTCCGTCCAAGAGAAAGGTTGAATCGTTGGGCCAGATAATTCTTTTACCATTTCTTCTCCTACGTATATCTAACTCAAATTTTGATGTCATACGAAGCGCATGATGCTGGAATATGATCGTTTCCCTTGCATTTCAAAATCTGTCTATATGCTTTGCTTCTTTTGTAATGGTACACATGTAAACTCATTCATTCGCTCTTTACTGCACATGAACTTAGCCCAAATATAACCTCCCAAGAAGGCCATATTCTATCTGAGATTGCGTCTTTCGTTTGGAGTTTGTGGCCCGAGCTTTTTATAGAGCAATTAACTCCTTCACAGTCATTGGGGATGAGTATTCTGAAGGGCCATCGAAAAGTTTATCCACTATGATACCATGAGTTGCCTGTGTAGGATGGTAAAAATCCCAGAAGACATGATCCCTTCTGTTGGAGCACAAGGATGCAACTGGCAGGCAAGGACCCATGGCGTTAAGCTTCCCAATCCCACAGCATGCAGCTTTAACCTCTGTAAATCCTGAAATCGAATACGAAATTTTGGTTTGTCAGTTGAGTTAACTTAAAATTCTACCTCTAGTTTCTTACAAAGGCGGCAAAATATCGGTTATCATGATCTGTACGTATTAAAATTGACAATTTTACTACACAACATGCTAGACGGAATTGTGCTTAGATTATTTTTGCTTATGAAGAACGAAAAGAATATATGAGTACCGTAAGAAGCTGCGTTTTGTATGATGTTGGTCAAGACAGTGTAAGTGTCGAAGAGGGTGTAGCTTATGCCCAACTCCGGTTTCAATTGCTGCAACATGGACTTAAGGGCTTCATTGTACATGACAGACAATGAGTTTGCGCCATCATTGCACTCTTCCGTATTTGAATCCCTTTGCGAGGGACAGCATCCAACCGGCCCAGTCCCGACAACTACAAATTTTTGGGCACCAAGAGCATGTATTCTCTGCCAAACAACGGAGAAAGAAACACATTAAGCATTGAAGTGCAACTAAAGTTTCACTATGCAAGCATGGAGCTAAGCCAATGTAATCTTGTTACCTGTAATTGTTCCTTTAGATTCGACGCCATTAAATCCGTGTACTGCTGTGGCGTGTATTCATTTTGGAGGTTGGATTTTGTAACGTAGTCGAAGATGTCATTGCTTCCAATCACAAGGAGAAACAGAGATTTTGAAAGATGGTCTTTGGCGCCCTCGGATCCTAACTGTAGCCCAATGTTTTGATGTACTTCTGAGTAGTAGTTCACTTGGTATGACAAAGGTATTGACTGACGCTGTGACGGAAAATAGGCAAAGCATTAGTTGTTGGACAAAGTTATTCAATTTGCTCTTCACCAGCCGGTCATGTGATGGACATTTTATTCAAGAGAGATATATCTTTAGTGACACATCAGATTTTAGGTCACTCATCATAACTTGCAAAATGAAAATGCCACGTGACGTTGTTCTTTCTACTAAAAAATTTCTCTTTATAAGAAGGTGCTGCAGAATACACCAAAGTTTTCTTGTAAAAGCTTTTTCACCAACTTTCATAAGTAACATGGACCACCCAGCTCATGTAAAAAACGAATTGGATTCTAAAGCATTTTTAGTGGAACGGAATATATTAACATGTGCTAAAGAAAGTGTGTTATTTTTATTTTTATTTCCTTTTTTGGGTATTTATTGACCCTAAAAACTACCAAGCCTACGTGACGCGCAGGCCGGATAATTAATAAGCTAACTACGTTCTTCGGTTGTGAGTGGGGCGTGCCAACTTGTCGTCCGAACTTGGCCAGGGAGTAAAATGTGTTGATGTCGAGTTGGGCGCGCTGCTGACTTCTTGATCTTGCGACTGCGGTCGAGGAAGCAACACGTCTCGGCCTTCGGGTTCTAGAGCCTGAAGATAAGGTTGCTAGTCTTGCGAAGTTCACGGATCGTCAGTGCCGGGTTCGGTCATAGTGATTATATTCGTAAGAGTATAAACACACCGAACTGACACCAAACTATACAGACACAAGTACTCAAAAGAGATGTATGTCTTGATGACAAATGTGGTTCGGCCGTCAGAATGCCGAACTCTAAAACTTACTTAGGAATATCCAATCATAAAACAATTCGGCGTTCAGTGTGTCGAGCCCAGTATTCTGTAACACCTCACTTCACCGAGAAGGCTGATGAGATGACCTCTACCAATAAGGACTCGAAAATCCTTCTTAACCGAGACTCTGAAGCAAACCTTCAAACAAAACAGGTTCGTCTCCTAATCCCAAGCACTTTAACTTTGAGACTCCTTAATATACAAGGATTTGACTACTCAACCTCTATCCAAAACAATCCTCTTCATAGCAGGATTCGGCCAACCTCGACAGAACAGGCCCATGACAAGATTCTAAATAAACACCATCAGGCTGAGAATATCTGAGCTCAGCCCAAAATATCATTATGGCCCAAACAGTTTCTAGTGCTATTTTTCTTTTGAAAGAGTGTTGAAAATATTGCACTTACAAATTGTTCATCCGAGCCATTGAAGATTCCAGCTCCTCCGGAGGCGAAGCTAACTCCGTCGACGAAGGATAGTATTTTTCGCCTATTGGACTTGGATACGAGTGCCAGATATGGTGGCGACGGTAGTAACCCTATTTTCTCGGCTGCCAAACAAAAGATAACAAGGTTATATATACTACGTACCCTCTCATTCTCCCAACATGCATAGTTGTCACTAGTCATGATTTATTAACTGATGATATGTTAAACCTACCAAGAAAATCTGCAGAATTCTTGCCATTGCCAAACCTCCCCGTTGCTACTTTGTCAGGATAATCAACCCCATTATGAGGAAAATTTGCCTTGACTAGAGAAATTTTTAGGTAATTGTTGTTACCAACATCGGCTAATGAGTCTCCGAACACGTAAATGGCCGGAACCATCTGAGCTTCCGAGAGAGTGACGATGAAACTAGTAATGAAGAGAGAGAAGACAACGAAGGAAGCCATTGGCAAAACATCAGTGTGATATTTAGCCATGTTATGAATGAATCGTGTCTAAAAGTTCCCTCAAACTTTGGTATGTGATGTGTGATGTTTCTGTGTGATGGTTTGAGGGACATGAACAAGTGGATGTCCTCTTATAGAGAGGGATAAGTTGATGAGTACAAATTTCGTGTATGAAAACGAGGTTTTAGCCGTGTAGGCTCTAGCAGTAGCAGTAGCAGTAGCACTCATCTGAAACATCTTATCCTGACACTAATATTGTCATTACGTTTATGTACTTTATAATTTGTTCTTCAACTCTTGATTGTCTCTTCTCAACATATCAACATTTTGTCATTGGGAGTTACTTTTTTTATTTTTATGAGAAGTGTTTTTTTGGATAACTACTTTTGTTTCCTCATTTAATTGTTAAGAGTTATCCGGATGTCAATTTCATTAATCATCATCCCATCATCCCATCATCTTCAGAAATAAAGTTGAGTTTCCACCGTATATCAATTGACAACATAGGAAGTAGTTCAACATCTTAAAAGTCCTTGCATTTTTTTCACTAATGTAAATTTTTTTATGTTCACATCCTCACACATCCCCTCACGTGTGACGAATTTTCAAGCCCAAACATGTGGACAATACGAATTGGATGACATGAAACACGTGTAGATGTTGGGCTTCACACATAGGCAAACCTATTCTGATACCATAAAGAAAATTAAGGTTGTACCATAAGATCAATTGACAATATGGAGGGCAACTCAACCTTTTATTAGTCTTCGCAAAATTTACTCTTTCACTGATATGGAACTCTTTTACCTTTATATTGTTACACATCATCGATCACCATTGATCATGCCCATTATTCCTTAATTGTTCT